GCTCCGCCACTGCTGAAAAACTATCTTTCGGTTTTTGTGATGACGACGTTTTTCGGACAAAAATCTCATAACTAGGTTCGGGCAACATCAGATATTTTACCCCCCCCCCCCTCCCTTCCGACATACACCAGGCTCCGCCACTCCTTACGTTGCGATATTTATTATGAATGATTTCATTCTACTTTATCCTGAATCTATTGTGAATATGACGGGATCAGATGTTATTAAGTTCAATAAAAATCGTTATTAATATAAAATATTTATTGTTATATATAAAGCCACATGATAATATGAGCACTGCTAATATAGCAAAATAGATATACAAAACAAAACAATACGACTACAGTTGAAGTACATTTTAAGCCGCAAATTCCTCTTTTTGGAAAATTCCACGACCCTGTCATTAAATCTTCCGCCGTGGATGCGTTGATCACATTATTTTTCATTGAATTTGATTGGATTCTTTACGATATTTTGACCAATGAAAATTGACAGGTTTATCATTTTCGTGGGTTGATTTTGGATTATCTAAAAAATAACTCAAACTAAGCATTTCTCTTTCAATTTCTATACATGTAGGCTATGTGTCTTTTCATTACATGGTAGAGCCTCAAGAAAATACGAGTCGTCTTTTTAACTTTCTAAATTGTAAATTCTGGACACACGTGAACTTGAAGACTCAAATTTCGACTGTGTTATAAACACTATTACTGAGACGTATTACTAGTTTCTGGTATCTTATCAAATCCGAATGCGTAGTCTAGGACTAAATGGCATGTAATGAGCGGGTCGTGGAATTTCAACAATGGCGATAACCATTGATTTGCAATTGGCAAGAGGCGTGCGAAATTGGCAAAACTACTACTATGGATCATTATTTTTAGACAACGGACTGGCATAATCGAAGAATAACTCTTCAGAGTGGGATACAGAAAAGTGATTTGTTTTGTCAAAAATTTCAGTCCCTAGTATAAAAGAGTATGATTCGTAGTTTTTCTTCATTCCGATTGCATGGCTATTTTTTAGGCACAGGGAAAAAATAAATTGATTAAAAAAATATCACAGTGTAACGGAAGATAAAACACACAATTATAATGGAATAAATAAATCAGTAACCAGGAAATAACTATCCAGGAAAGTCAGTTATTTGTAAAACTTCAAACATAACTTAAAGGGATACTACGTCTATGAATAAACATAAAATTTTAAAATTTTAAACTTGGCCAATAAGAGCATATATTCATCAATAGATATACCTGGTGTCATAAATAACATAACAGGATCCTTATATAATCCGATAAATCTAAAAAAAACTTAATATAAATGCAATTAACTATTGAAAAACGCTTAATATTATGATTAAGCGTTTTTCAATAATTACTTAGTTTTATGAATATTCCAATTTTCTAGATTTTACAGGGATTCTGTTGTAACTTTATGACACCAGGTAAGTTCACTGATGAATATATACTCATATTGACCATTCTTGAGAATTAAATTTTATGTTCGTTCTAAGACGTAGAATCACTTTAAACAATTCAAATTACGTTTCAGGTTACGTTATAGTGCAATAAACAAAGATACAACTATAAGCAGAGCAGAAATACATAAATACTTCATAATATGCAGTTGCAAATTGAGGGACGTAGCCTAAATATGATCGAATTTCGTCGATGCCTTTAATGCCCTTTTTTGGCTATTTCTTTCACACATGCCAGTGTTTTTATGAGACTGTGTTCTCATCAGCACCTTAAACAAGATATCCAGAGGATTAATTCCGTACATTGACATCTGGCAGTTTCACGTTCAATATTACAGCGAATAGTTCTTATGTTGAACGGTCGCAATCTGTTCTAGGAAATGCTTCGATTAGACTCAGTTTCCAACCTAACTACGCCCCTGAACTTAGGAAGAAATTAGTGAACAGATAAATATTGGAAGGCACGCCATTATCTAAATTCTACTCGGGCTGTAGGCACTATGATATGATTTCTAATTCGACCATGAAATATACGTCATATTCTTGAATTAGCTTGATTTCGACTTCATTAAATATAGTGTAAAGAGGTAGAGTGTAGCGTTTTGTGTATATGTCCTTCAGGTGGTAAATGCAGTAGAAATAAGATAAAACGCCAAATAGGGAAATAGTGCATTGCGTCCACATTAATTTGTTTTTCATGGGATATGTTCAATGTTGGATATAACTTATAATAGTATTATTTGGGATGTGAAAAGTGCCCAGGGGCACAGGCAACAAATTTCATTGACAGATGCAGGGTAATTAGAAGACTGCAATGCTATATGTTTTGCCCCTCTGTTTTTTTCTAGAGGCCCTGGTGCCCCCGAAAGTTACAAAAATTGTGATTGTATGATTGATCAACAAACACCACAATCGCGTACACGGACAGTTTGTAAGGGTACTCCAGTTTCAGATCCTATATGTTCTATAGTTCTCACTACGTCCATACCAGTATACACTTGCCCGAATACAACATGTTTACCGTCTAACCTGTAAAATACAATATATTATTGTGATTTAAAAGATGAATGATTCAAATATAAGATGAAATCTACGACCATGAGATGATGCTTTTACGGCTTATTTGGAATTATTTTGTTCCCAAGAAATGGTGTGTATAATTACTAAGCAAGTGTTTGATACACCAGATCTTAAATCTGAATCACTCAGCAATATCAACAATAATGCATCTGAATCACTTGGATGTAATAGAGCTAAAACAGTGGTATCAGCATTAACAACTATTATCTATCTGAATCACTTAGCAATAACAACTAGAATGCATATGAATCACTTGGATTCAATAGAGCTTAAATGGTGGTATCACTCAGTAATGACAACAATCATTTATCTGAATTACTTGGATTCTCTGCTCAGACGGTGGTATCAGCAATAACAAATAGGATCTATCTGAATCACTCAGTAATATAACTATCATCTATCGGATTACTCAGCTCTCAACAGCATCTATCGGAATCACCCAGTAATAATAACAATCACCTATCTAAATCACTCAGCAATAACAACTATAATGAATCTTTAATCACTCAGCAATAACAAATATGACGCATCTGAATCAGTTCGATGTAATAGAGTTAAAACGGTGGTATCAGCAATAACAAAATCCTCTATTTGAATCACTCAGTAATAATGATAATCACCTATCTAAATCACTCCACAATAACAAATACCATCAATCTGAATCACTCAGCAATTATAACAACTTTACATAGCTGTCAACTATGATAAATAAAATTTCCAGATTTCTTTATATCTAGATCAATTGTGATCTGTGTAAGTATTTCATTTGCGTTACTGAACATATGATAAATTTTAAATCATCATGTTGATTCTTAGACATAATATTTTGAAAAGTTGCATTTGAACTTACCAAGAAGTTTTGACGGTGGTTATAAAAAATTGGGATCCATTGGTATTTCTTCCAGCATTTGCCATTGATAACATGCCTACAATAATATAATGATTTCAATGGCTATTTAAAAAATAACCCCCATAGGCCTCGGACTGTGCCTCTCAAATGTGCTTAGAAATGACTTTTTGTAGCACAACCTGGAGATTACTTTTCTCACTAGGAATCAAATCCTCTATGTTATAGCGAACTAAAAAACAAAGTTCCCACTTTCAGAGAGTGCCACAATCCCATATTTCAGCTTTTAAAGATGCGCATTTTGGTTTTTAAAGTGGCAGTGTTCGCCGATTTACTTAGTATATATCTACTTAAGTACGTTATAGTTCAAATTCAAAACTGAATGTTATGACGAAAAGAAAACAAGCTTAAAAATCTAACTGTATCCAAGTAGATGCAAACAAATGAAATTTATATAACAAGTATCAATGAATAGAGAATATTTCACATCGCTAACAATAACGTAATTGTTTACAAAAAAAAAGTTAAAATGCTGACATATTTTGTTATCATTTGCTAGTGCATTTGCATTTGCTCTTGAATCCAAATAATTTGGTTAATTTGTCTGAGGTTGATCTAGAGAAGCAGGTTATGCTTACTCTTCTGAAACACAACTCGGGGATCTTTACAGAGAATGCGAGTTTGAATTTTTGGTATGCAATCAAAAGTTTATACTATAGACAACCTCTTATTGACGCAGATTTTATGATCAGAATTCGAAATAAAATAAGCAAACCAAAGTTGTTGGTGCACATAAATGGACGATTCATAATCATAAACAAAAGCAATTCACTATATTTCAGGTGATTTAATGAACGCAAAATAGTGGTCGGTCGGTGTTCATATTTTGATTAAAAGTGAAGAAATATCTTTGCTCGACAATTACCATCTTCACAATGTTAAAGTATTACGGCCATCGGCTTATACCTTGACTCCAATATCATTGAAGTTTGTAAATGTAGTGATTTGATTGGATTGTACACTANCGAATACAGNCAATCAGAACCCTCGACAGAAAGGCTTTAATCAATAAGTCTAAGTGTTTTGGGAAATTTTGTCGAGACCTCTGATTGTCTGTATTTGCTAGCGTACAATCCAATCAAATCACTACATTTACAAACTTCAATCATACAAGAAAGGTGGCTTTTGGAGTAAAGGTATAAGTAAAAAGTTTGCAATAGCTTGGCATTTTGAAGATGGACTATAACAGGAATATAGAGCATTCTTGCTTACCTGGTTTAGTATGGGAATGGGAAAAATTTTCATCTGCAAACCGCAGACCATAAATACTTTTCCCACCGGTACCATTGCCTTTATCAAAATCTCCTCCTTGAAGCATGAATCCGGGAATAATTCGGTGAAATATAGAACCTTTATATCCAAAACCTTTAGCATGGGTACATAATGCTAGGAAATTCTCTGTTCAAAATAAAATACATTTGATTGTTAAATTCTGTTGATACTTTACTTGTTTTAGAAATAGATTTGCATAAATTTGCTTCAGGTTTATCTCACAAACCCAAAACATTTAACAGATAAATTTTGATACATGGATATTTTTTAATGGTAAAATCTTCCTTCAACAATTAAGGATCAAGCATGAAATCACTTATAAGCTGTAGAAAAGCATTGGATGTAAAACTTTCATTTCATTGCATGGGTCCCGTATCATCTACCGAAATTTGAATTTTTCGTTATGACTGATGGTTTTGATCAATAAAAACATCTTACCTACTGTCTTGGGTACAGCATCTGTAAACAGCTGAAAAATTATAAAATTTCAATAAAGAAAGGGCGAAAGAATACGCTGTGAAAATATACGCTCTGTGGGATACAGCAATTGAGCAAAAAGGGAAACTATTTGTATAGACAAATCGGTGCAAAAGACCTGCTATTACTGTGTAATCACTCTTTAAAGTATTAGTGTGCACTGGTTAACCAGGTAAATTTTGAAAATATATAAAACTTTAAACCAAGTTTAAACTTAACTTTATAGAAAAAAAAATTTTTTTTTGTAAGAATTATAGAGTTCATGAAAAATAAACATTATTGACATTAATAAAACAAAAGACTAGAACGATTTTGAAAAAAGAACAAACAACAATTTTGTTGTGGTGAAGCCAGCAGTGCATACTTCCCTTTTAATTTTCTTATATAAATGTATAATGGACGTGGTTCACTTGTGCAGCATATAATATGACATTCCACACATTCTCACAATATGCATTCATTATACACTATGTCAAACGACATAATAATCGAGACTAGTATCAACAATCTTCATTTAATTCAATACAAACAAAAAGACTGGATGACAGAATAGTCAAATGCATCAGTTTACACTATTCTAGGACTGACATGTGATGTATTCAAATACGAAAAAAATTGTTTGTACTAACCTCAAAAACAATTCTTCCGGCAGCCCTGCCACCAATTTCCATGTCAAAATAACAGAACGAATTAGGCATATTGGAGGTAGAATACAATACTGTTCTTTAACTCATATTCTTATTTATCTATAGCAGACGTACAAAACGTCACAGACACGCGATCAAGCCATTCCGTTCTTTGATCAATATACAGAAATATCGATTGGCATAACATAATGATTGTACAGGTTCATATCAAAGCGAAAGTAAAGGTAAACTTGGTAAGAATAAAACGTTTGCAAAGTATTATTATCACTCGTACAGACTTTCTACTCGATCTCTTATAGGCATAAGAACGCGTGGAAGCACCTTTGAGATTGTTTGCAAAGTCTTTCCTAGTTTATGAAGCAAAAATAGGCCTACATACAATAAGAGGATTAAACGAAGGCCTCCTTGCTTTAAAGTGAGTGTAAGCCTATCAAAGACATTTGTCTTCTTTTTGCATCGGTCCTATTTCCACAGATTAATAATGTTTCCTTTAATTTTGTTTAGATGTAATGCCTTTAATGCATTGGTCACATATTCTACTCAAGTTTTCCTCAGGCCCGTACCTAACTCTAGCACCCCCCTCCAGAAAAAATTATGACAACTGATCAATTCTATTACTGCAACCAAATACTATACACCATTGCCCGAATATATTACCCAAGCCACTACCCACCAAACCCCCCCTATCCCTTACCAACACCCCGATCAATCCAGTTTGAGTACGGGCCTGGTCTTCCTGGAATTAGGGAGACCAACAATTCTATTGCAATGCTAGAAAAACCTCTACGGGCCTGGTCTTCCTGGAATTAGGGAGACCAACAATTCTATTGCAATGCTAGAAAAACCTCTTTTGAACATCAAAAAATTTGAAATCAAATCCAAGTCGTTTGTGTCTGTTTAACGTCATTTGCCATCAATCAAAATACTTACCAAGCCGGTTTTATATACAAAAAAAAAAATTAAAGGGTTGATATATATGGTCACAGTTTACCATTTCAATTTTCAAAATTTGTCCCTCATTTTAGGTGGGGGTTAAAGAAAGACACCCAAATAAGGAAATGATATTACGTCATATAAAAAACGCGGGAATATATTTCCCAAAGTTATAAAATGACGTTATTTGAATCAATCATAAGAGTTATATAATAAGAACTGTATATGACTCTATGGAACCAAATAACAAAGCCAATCACCTCACAAAATTTTTCATAATAAATCTTTTATCATGATATACTACATAGACACAACACTAAAATATGGAGTTTTAATGAATCTTTATTAGCCTAATTAATTTGCATTCATGAATCCATCATCATTAGTTGTCAGTAATAAACAGTAACAAAAGAGACGCTGATGATCAAAGCTACATAATATAAATATTAATAGAAAAGGGAGGGGGTTAACTGAAAATATAGATTGTCTATATTAAACTAAAATTTGAAATTTGTGTAGTAGCCTATACTGAATACATTAGACCAATATCACATCATTCACAAGATGGAGGAGACGCCTCGTCTATCTACGGCGAATGAATACCGTCATGCCATATTTAGAATTGCTAATCATACCAAGTAACATTGACAATAATCGGAACATTTTCACATAATATTGCACTTGGGGGTTTAATTTCAAGATCAATTATTCCTTGAAAGAGCTTATTGATCGATACACAGAGTTCAAGCCGAAATCTAACAAAGAATTATATTCTGTCGCGCAATGTCATTGTGAAAATAGCCTTATTGAGAGCACGTGGTCTACCGGCGTCACTCATCCTTTCCTAGCTTGCCCTACATACCGTCGAGGTCTACAAAATTGGTCCTTTACGTTACTTCGCATTTCGTTGCTATTCACAAGCTGCAAAGATGGCAAAACCTCAAGTTTTCTTCGACATCACTGCTGATGGCAGTCCACTGGGAAGAATCACTATGGAGGTAATGTATTTCTTTCCGATAATATAATTAGAAATTAATGGAGTTGCCATGCCATGGCTCTTTACTTTGTTTGGACAAATCACCCCAAGACACTTCGACCTATCCAAAATTTTTCGCACGTCTCTTTGGAATCTGTCTGATGGTCAACAGTTGCTCAATTGACTCATGTCTTTGTAAATGCCTTACTATCCCCTGTTGTAGTCCGACAAACCGACAGGCTTACCTGCCACAGATAAGCAACAGTCACAGATATCCTCCTAAATTCAGACCTAAACAGAATATTAATCCAAAAATATAAAATTTTATATTGATATGTGAAAACAGTCTGGGTTAGTCATGAGCTCGCTTTTCTTTTATTTCAGTTGAGAGCTGATGTGGTACCCAAAACTGCAGGTAATATTACTTAAGTCTAATTAAAATTAGACCTAACTTCTGTTCGTAGTTTCGTTTCAAATGTTAAATTAGCAATTTGCTTTGTACCTAACCACTGTCCTTGACTTGACTTCTGTTAACCTCTGCTTTAACCAATCGCTTTTCCAGCGACGGGATAATGTGATATGAACAGTAGGTCCATTCCAAGGCGCATAGCGGACTAATAAGGGCTAGCTAGTCCAATAAATATAGAAATAACCCACAATCGAACATGATCTGATGGCTCAATCTAATAGTGGATTGAAAAAATCTGCAAAACTATTAGCTAGTACGGAACAACATGTGTGCATGTGAAACAGGCTAATTCCCTTTTTTCGCCTCAAGATAATCATTGATTTAACATTGCTGTCTATGGCCAGAAATGGAAAAGATTACAAGATAAAGATGGCGTAAATGAGGAGTCTTGACAATTGTAAAATGTAGTTAACCTCTTTCCTTTCTATCCTTTTCCTTAGACTGCCTTGTTAAATTAACATTATTTATCCTGAGGCATGCACACATATAGTTCCGAACTGGCTTATTGATTTCCAGACATGGCATGTACAAGATCCTATTCCTTTGACTGCCATGTTAAATTTACATTATTTATCCCGAGGCGGAAGTAGGGAATTGGTGTGTGACATGTCATATAGTTCCGAACTGGCTTATAGGTTTCCATACATCATCTGAATGCCCAGCTTTACTGCTTATTTGTTTCCGAATTTAATAACGTATTATTCTTTTGGTTAATTTTCCATTTTGCAGAAATAACTGAAACTGTGAAGCCCCTACAACATATGCCATTGTGTGGCAATAGCACTCTATTTGAAAATGTTTTATTTGCAGAGAATTTCAGAGCTCTTTGTACTGGTGAGAAGGGATTTGGTTTCAAAGATTCCACATTCCATAGAGTTATTACAAACTTTATGTGTCAGGGGGGAGATTTCACTCGTGGAGATGGTACTGGAGGTAAAAGTATCTATGGTGAAAAATTTGCTGACGAAAACTTCCAGCTGAAACATGAGGGTCCAGGTAAACACTTTTTATAAGCTTGACCTTGTAGAAGAGTATTCTCTAAAATTGAGATTAATTCATACATATTTTGTGTTAATGAGAATATTAGAAATGATTGCTCTATTTTATCAAAAATCAATAACTTTTACATCAATAAGCTGATCTCAAAATAAATGAAATCCAGTCTTATTTTGTCTGAGAAAGTCTCTGGTAAATTAAAAACTTGCTATATATTTATTTCTTGTTTTTCAAAATGTCTTCAATGCTAACACCATTGAAAGTTTAAAACAAATATTAGCTTGTTACCCTAGTCTTCAAAATGATTAAAATTACAAATGGAACAGTTGATCTACAATTTATAAGACCTAGTTTTATTTGAAAGGTTTGCGAACGTATAAAAAAATAGCCCCATCATTAAGATATTGAAGATAATCTCAACATTTTATTGTTGATGGCTATTGAAAGATTGACTATTAGCAAATTAATTCCATTTAAAAGGTTAGCTCATCGTAACGAACTTATTATTGCAATTTCAGGTACATTGTCCATGGCAAATGCTGGTCCTAACACAAATGGTTCTCAGTTCTTTTTGTGTACCGTTAAAACTGCTTGGTAATTATGCATTTTTTTAAATTATTTTTCTGATTAACTTTGTTTGCAAGACTAGCACTAACCCCCAACAGATTCAACTGATTTTGACAATAGACATTTTTGTTAATTAAAAATGGAATTAAAAAATGCCTGAGGCTTTTTGTGTTGTACCGTATTGTAACTGGAAAAAAAAATAATATGATCATTCCTTCCTCACCCTAAAGAAAAGTCATTTGATAGCATATTTGACAATCATCATGCCTTCACACTCGAGATAAAGAGAAATAGTGCAGATACGGGAATAAATCCATTGCTCATGTACAACAAGAATGGAGTTCTCCGATTGTCTGCTTACAACAGTCAACAGTACATAATTGATGGTAAACAGTATGTGGCATGACTGCAAATAGTCAGTGCATTAGAAAATACTGTTGCCCTTGTTCTTCTGATGTCCTATTTTTAGCTTGCATGCATTCTTTAAGGCGCAATTCTTCAAGAGTTGAAAGAGTATAAAATGAAACTGCTATGGTTATCAGCTAAGGACAAATATAAAGTGTAAATTGAAAACCAAGCCTGTACTAAATTCTATGATTTGTCTTTTCAGGTTAGATGGTAAACATGTAGTATTTGGTAAAGTGGTTGACGGTATGGACGTGGTAAAAAAGATTGAAAGCTATGGTTCTCAATCTGGCAAGACCTCCAAAAAAATTGTTATCGCTAATGCTGGTCAATTGTAAACATGTCTGCATTTGACAGCACTGTAGATTTTAATTATTTTATGAGATACTTTCTTCTACAATTCTATAATCCGAACTCTAATTATGTTTATTTTGAGGGTGATTCTGTATTCAACAGAAATTCTTGTAGTTAAGAGAATAACAGAAAATTATCTTTAATATTTAAAGGTCTGTTATCCCTGACATGATTATTAAAAATTGATACATAGCTAAATGTTTATTTTTGAGGATTGAGTTTTCACAAGTGCTAAATAACATCAAAATAATTTCATATAAATGATCAAAATTCACCTATGGACTTTTATTGTCATTCATTTTGAAATTTCTTTACAATGTTTTTGTAATGTAATTTTTTGTTATAACAATTCTTGAACTAGAGGTCTGTGATTTATGTCCCTGTGTGTTGGCTATTTCCAATTCTGGACAGGGGGCATCACTATGTCGAGCTATTACCAACTTTGGTACTTATACCATTAGTGCGATAGCCACCTTTTCCTGTATCACTGATTTGTAAATGATGGGATTTGAATAGATTGATGGCTAGCATTATACAGCCAATGAGTCCTGGACACAATCCACAATGTTTACAGCCTTACTGTCAGCGCTCAGATTCGATGTATTTGCCGGCGTACAATCACATGCAATAGCTGAATTCCGTGATTCAATAACACATTGTGAGAAATGGTTCTTGATTTGTAAAGGATGCTCTAGTCTAAATATTTCCATGACAGACTGATTGGACTCCTGTAAATCGTAGGGGAGATCCAAGAAATGAGATGGCCTATGTAAATCCGTCTTTAACTGTTGGTAGGTAGAAACGTTTAAGAAACACTGCATGAAAGAGCTCACCACATCATCTATATCCAGCAGAGCTTGTTATCCTCAGTAAGACTCAGCAATTTTTGTCGTCGCCCCTATCCGTCTGTCCACAATTGTCTTGTGAATGCAATAGAGACAACAGTTGTTTTCTGATTTGAATGAAATTTTGTGTGATCATTTATATTCATGAGATCTTGGACACATTCGAATGTGACGATCTTTCGATGAATGGATTTTGAGTTATTGCCCTTGACTTATTAAAACGGACAAAATTTGATCGTTAACACAATGGAGACTACAGTTTTCATCCAATTTAAAGGAAATTTGGTGTGAATATTTATAATGATATCTTGGACAACTTCGAATTTAGGTATCTTTCGATGAACGGTTTTTGAGTTATTGCCCTTGACTTATGAAAACGCGTCAAAATAAGGTTGTGAACAAAATGAACAACAGTTTCATCCAATTTAAATGGAATTTGGTGTTGATATTTATAATGATGAGATCTTGGACAAGTTCGAATTTGCCTATCTTTCGATGAATGGTTTTTGAGTTATTGCCCGTGATTTATGAAAAACACAATAGAAAGTACAGTTTTCATCCGATTTAAATGAAATTTGGTATGATCATTTATAATGATAAGATCTTAGTCAAGATTAAATTTAACAATTTTTTCGATTAACCGAATTTGAGTTATTGCCCATGACTTAGTAAAAACACATCAAAATTTATTAGCGATAGAGGTAACAGTTTATGTCAGAATTTTATTAAATTTTGTGTGTTTGTTTAAATCAACAATATCTTGCACAAATTATATTTTTGGTATGATTTGATACAGATAGGTGACTGCCCTTGATATACTGAAAATGTATCAGGAAAGTGGGCGTATCTTGCGAGGCAACCACTTGTTTTATACGCTTACATAAAAAGTGAAGCGTATATTAATGTCTTTAGACCACAATTGCTCGTAAAGACTGGTTTCTTGATGAAACTTGGTGTAAGTGTTAATTATCAACAAAGAATGATCTCTATTGAAAATAAGAAAAACCGTGATTGCCTAGTACGATTCGCCCATTCCCCTGTCGTATGTCAAAGGCGATCGCCAATCTGTGTCAAATCGTACAAAAATCTAATTTGTACAAGATATTATTCATTTAATCAAACATTTAATAAAATTTGAATATAAACTGCCAACAAACTTTGATGCATAAGTCAAGGGTAATAACTCTAATTCCAAATTGAAACTTGACCACGATCTCATTGTAATATATGATCACACCAGATTTCATTAAAATCAGATGAAAACTAGTCTCTATAGCGTTGACAAAATGTTGACGCGTTTTTCTTAGTCAAGGGCAATAACTGAAAAACCGGTCATCGAAAAATCTTCAAATTCGAACTTGACCAATATCTCATCATGATAAACAATCACACTGAATTTCATTTAAATTGGATGAAAACTGTAGTCTCTATTATGTTCACACACAAATTTTGACGGTTTTTCAGAAGTCAGGGGCAATAACTCAAGGGCCGTTCATCGAAAGTTCGTCAAATTTGAACTTAACTAAGATCTCACGAATATACATGATCAAACAAAATTTCATTAAAATCAGATAAATACTGTAGCCTCTAATGTGTTCACAAGCCAATTGTGGACGCGGGCGGAACAAGTAAGGACCAAGGATGAACCCTGTTAAAAATAAACAAAATCGAAAAATATTTCATACAATTTCTTGTTCTTGAAAACGTGTTCAATTTTTTTTTTACCTCGTATAAACTCTAGAAGTTCCAATTATTAACAGAGGTAAACGAAACTTAAGGTGCAGGAAACGAGCGATCTTGGTTGGAGATTTTTGTCGCCGACTAGAGTGTTATCGCGACTTTCGCCGACGTGCACACGAGGAAACAAAAAGTCATTTTTCACTACATGCATTTCAATAATCACGTGCGGAGCATTCAATTGAAAACAAAATTAATCTTATTGGTTGACACCCTGTCTTGCAGAAGATAAAACTATCGATGACAATTATCAAACTTGTCTGATATTATAAATCCTGTCTTGGAATGACGGGCACACGACCGCTCGTGTGCCCAGTAGTGAAATCCTTTATCACCCAAGAATTATTGAAAATCAAAGAATATTTAATGAGTTATGGTCCTTGTTTTTGAAAACCTGTTCAATTATTAGCTTTTAAAAACTCTAGAAGGCACAATTCTTGACGGATTTTGATGAAACTTTCTGAAATTTGCTGTTAAGATCGAAGGATGAACCCTATTGAATATAAAAAAATAGGAATTATTGCCCTTGTTATCAGCTCTTAACATTCCAGAAGGCACAATTCTTGCCAGATTTTGATATAATTTGGTCATATTGTCGCACTAAAAAAGTGCGAAAGAAGTGCATGACTGAAGGTTGAATATTCCATACTGGTGATTGTTTCTGCCAAATATTCTGAAGTAAAATCAAAGCTATACCAGGGGTAGGTCGTGTTTATCATGAAAATTTCGGTTTGCAACAAGTATCTCGTATCGAGTTCGTCAATCAATTACCCTTTTTTTTCATAACACACTTCATAACTAATCCTATACAATAATTATAGGTTATTAGAATGCAATTTTTTTTTTAGATTTTCAAACATACGGCCAATGCCATAACAAAATCTCCGATATAATCCGTAAGTAAAGTAAGTAAGTAAGTAAATTATAAGTAATTTTCTATACGTAAATGTATTCGAGCCCATCGTTTCGAAGTACATTAATTTACGATATTTATAGTGGGCCTATAATAATTAGAATGCCCATTCAACTAATATCAATGTAGACTTATTATTTACAATTTGTATTTCATCGTTTAGGCTAATTTCCGCTGTTTAGGCTGGCAATATCCTACCTTTTAACTTTTAAGAAAGCCCGAGTTAAATTGCACAATTTTCAATGAACCTTTCGGCATAATTGTAAAATTGGCTTATTATATATCGTGTGGCAAATAGATATCGCAATACGTTCTCTTTGTAGCTGGGTCCATCTCTATGGGACCCATGCACATGTTGTCCAACGCGCCAATGAGGTTCCTTGTTTATTTATAGTTACATTTCTGAGTCACTCAGCCAGTGTAGCTACTTGAACCGGAGACGAGACATTTTTACAACTGTCGTCACACTTTCCTAATTTGTTTTTATCTAAAAGACGAGATGGCTAAACCGAAAGTTTTCTTCGATATCACTGCTGATGGCAACGCAGTTGGAAGAATCACCATGGAGGTAATAATTTTTATGATACCCGGTAGTTTTTCATAGATTTTGTGAATTGTGGTTATTTTGCTCTTCCTTATTGTGGATGAATCGACCAGAGCTGTAGTGGGCGGAGACATTTCGACCTGGATTCGATGTTGAAGACTATTAAAGTAGAATTGTCTTTACATATTATGACAAAAAACTGTTTTTTCCTCAAGATAGTCAAACTTTACCAACAGAACACTAAACCAAATAATTTTGAACAAAACCAGTTATCTCTTTTTCTCATATTTTTTTTTAACTAACTGCTTGCAACTATTTGCATCTGAAATAATTTTGAATGAATCTCTAACGAAAAATCATGAAAAATATGTTAATTTTACAATTTTTTGGGAAAGGAAAATAAAAGTGTAATAAAATTTGAATTGGATACAAACTATGCAACCAACAAGTATGCATACAATCTATCAATGAACATAGATATGAGAACTGTAGTTTATTGTAGTGTATTTATTGTCTTTGTACCAGACCATCTTGTGAATTGAAATCACAAGAAATCGACAAAACAGGCTAATGGGCGAGTACATGTAACTAACTTCAACAGAAATACATGCTGACAGTAACACAGACATGGTCTCCACTTCCATGATGCCCCTTCCTTTTCAACTGTAAACAAGAGAGATGCAGACTTCAAGCTTGGCAATGAGAGCCTAAAAGATGACTCAAATCCAGGAAGGCTTCCTACAGAAACCATAATGTCTTATCGAAGATTGACCATGGCATCTCCCTTTAGAGAGTTTAGCACCTTCAAACACCAATTGGTTAGGAATGACAAAAATTTCTGAAACAGTGGTGCCTAAGCTCTGAATAGCAGAGCAGAAACTCTTCAGATTACTGACAATTTATTCTCAGTTAGGAATTCTGCATAATCACAAACTCTTCAGCCAACCCTCATACATACCTTTTTTATCATGCCAATTTCTAGACTTACTGTCATATAATTTCAGAATTTTCTTAGGCGTTTTGGAGAAAATTGTTGATTATGATATTTTTATTTAAAAAATCCATAATACTATATGAAATATAAATTTTATTAAGCTACCATGTTTTTCTTTTTCAGTTGAGAGCTGATGTAGTACCTAAAACTGCAGGTATGTATTTCGATCCATTAAAAAGTCTATACTGCAGCTTCTACCCTTTGAACTATTTTGAAATCTAATATCTTGATATAATAAGGCATTTTTCTTGTATCACAGGAGTTAATACATGCAGCGATTTGATTGGGTTATATCCTAGAAAATACATCCAATCAAGGTCCCTCAATAGAAAGTCTGGAGTATAGAACGCCAGCAAAAAGTCAGTTCACAGATTTTGAATTAGTTGCGAATTTGTCAAGCAGTTTAAAGATCCTAATTTATATTCAACGAAACTAGAACCAAATTCTGAATTGATACCAACTCGCAAATTTACACCGTTTCGTGGAAAATCTAGTTATGCCGGCAACCTACACCAGGTGACGAAACTAGAACCATATTCCGAATTGATACCAACTTGCAAATTTACACCGTTTCGTGGAAAATCTAGTTATGCTGGCAACCTACACCAGGTGGTGTGAATTAATACCAACTCGCAAATATATGCTGGTAACTGACACCAGGTGGCGCGAATTAACACCAACTTGTAAATTTACGCCGTTTCGTGGAAGTTATGCCGCCATCTTACACCAGGTAGCATGTGATGTATCAAAGTTCATGAAGCTATTAATAGAATAATATGGACAATTCCAAAACACTTTCTATTTTGTGCCGTTTTCTAAATATAGAAACAGATTTGGTTCTAGTTTCGTCGAATTCAGATTAGTATCTTCAAACTGCAAAATTCACAAACTAATTCAAAATCTGTGAACTGACTTTTTCCATAATGGCGTTCCGTACTGGAGTCAGTATGACTGTTCTTGTACTACTAGTTGTTGTCTAAGTTTTCAAAAGCACTTAACTTAACAATAAAGTATTGAGAGTATATTAGAAATGAAAGGAACAATATTTTCATTTCTGACCATTGTAATGATATTCCAAGCCATAATTTGGTCATCTCCCTTTAACATATACTTTTACATATTTTTCTACCATGTTTCACTTGTAAACCTTGTATCAGAGGCTGAGGTAATAAATATCCATGATATCACATGATTTTCAAACTGGCCAATTAACATGCTTCTACATAAACTTGTGAATATTATATAGGCAATATGTTGGCAATCCCTTTTGTATGAAAAAGGTCAAAAGCAGCTTGCAGTTATTTGGATAAATTGAACCATGATCTCATTTCTTTCATTGATAAGGGGGTAGTGATTTAATTTACAATGGATGTTGGCTTACGCATGATTTTCTTTTATTTGTAGAGAATTTCAGAGCTCTTTGTACTGGTGAGAAGGGATTTGGTTACAAAAATTCCACATTCCATAGAGTTATAACAGATTTCATGTGTCAGGGGGGAGATTTCACTCGTGGAGATGGTACTGGAGGTAAAAGTATCTATGGTGAAAAATTCGCTGATGAAAACTTCCAGCTGAAACATGAGGGTCCAGGTAGACTTAGTTTCTATATATTAATATGTCCACATGGACATGGAATTTTGATATTTTCATTGATTAGTGTTTTAGTTTTCTTTTCAACCAAATGAAATGGATATCTACAATGTTTGTACATATTGAAATTTCTATACTGTCATCCTAAGAACTTCTTCAGCAAATTATTATTATAATATGAAATAATAATTTTTAACCGCCCACATCTCTCTATGTGGACGTATATTGTCGGCACCCCTGTCCGTAAGTCCGTCAACATTTGCTTGTAAACGCTCTAAAAACTAGATTTTTTGATGGAATCAAATGAAATTTGGTATATGTATGCATATTCATAAAACGAAGATCAAGTTCGAATTTGGGCTATTTTCGACCATTAGAAGCAAAATCTTGAATATCTACCATCCGCATGACGTGGTGTGGTATATGGGTGTGGTCCACTATCTTAATCTTTTCATTGCCATAATAAAGCTAATGATTAATGTTATATTGTAGGAACATTGTCCATGGCAAATGCTGGCCCCAACACAAATGGTTCTCAGTTCTTTTTGTGTACTGTTAAAACTGATTGGTAATTATATGTTTATATTTCTAATATTCTCAAAGATGTCATTTAAGGATTTGCTTTTCAACTTAATAGAGCTCAATTTCAGCTGAAGAGTCTGTTATTGTACAGGGTTTAATTTAGATTGAAAAATTTGATCAGCAATTTATCACACCAAATTTAAGATTTGGCTAATCACGTTAATGCTTTGCATTTCTTATGAATTCTGTAGCAAAAAATATTCAAGTAGTATTCCTCAGTTTGATCTAACCAATGATGCTCATTGCTTTAGGTTAAGAGACATCTGTTCTAAATTCTCACGAAAAATATACAATTTAATTTGATTCGCAGATCTTAGTAAAAATTTTAATTTTTGCAAATCGAAGGAAGTGTTGTTTCATCCTATTAAAGAATATTTACATTTTCCATTAGACGAATACAAATTGTTTGGCGTTTATATCACCATAAACGCCATTGCCTCATCATCAAAACTTTAGTACAATGACGTCGTTATTCATTGACAGTTTACAGTTTTTACTGTCTTGAGTAGTATCCAAATATTCCATTTTTACCTTCATTGGCTTCAATCGTAATAGCAGTCAAAACATGATTTTTTTTTTTTTGCTTTGAGTCAAAACATGACGTCGTTATTCATTGACGTCATTGTATCAAATAGACAGTCCCAAATGTTGAAACGTAAAGTAATGTGCCCTACTTAAATTCATACTAAAGTCTTTGTATCAAAATTAGAGTGTCTAGAAAACTTAAATATAAGCAAATAAGCTAACACACATTTATTCAATTTTCCAGCCAAACTTTGTCCAGGTTAACAGTTTATTGCTTAAATATATGACAGACAACTATGTTCAATCTCCAGTCTTGGTTTATTTAAAGATGTCAATGGTTTAATTTTTTCAGGTTAGATGGTAAACATGTAGTATTTGGTAAAGTGGTTGACGGTATGGACGTGGTAAAAAAGATTGAAGGCTATGGTTCTCAATCTGGCAAGACCTCCAAAAAAATTGTTATTGCTGATGCTGGTCAATTGTAAACATGTCTGAATTTTGAAACATATTTAACACTGTCCACTATTTCTATAATCTGTACTTGAAAACTTAAAAATTAATTTTCTAAAACTTTTCATTTATCTGATACAGGGTGTATTGGCAGTCATATTATTGGTGTTAATGTATCAATACACATTTCACTTGCATTTGTTGCCATGTTTCTCATAATTTTTTTTAAATTCTAATATTGGTCAAGACTTGCAGAAATAATCATGTATTGACTTGTAATAAAAATCATGTATTGACTTGAAGAGAAAAAACCTGTATTGGCTTGTAGTAAAAAAATTATGCTTTGACTTGAAGAAAAAAATCATGTATTGACTTGAAGAAAAAAATGAATTGACTGGTAATGATATTCATGTATTCACTTGTAATAAATATCATGCATTGTTTTGAAGAGAAAATCATGTATTGAAATCATGTATTGACTTGAAGAGAAAAAAACCTGTATTGGCTTGTAGTAAAAATAAAATATCATGTTTGTACTTGAGGAAAAAAAACATGTTTTTACTTGAAAAAAAACATGATTTTACTTGAAGCAAAAAAATCATGTTTTGACTCGAAGCAAAAAAAAAAAATCATGATTTTACTTGAAGAAAGAAAAAATTATGTTTTGACTCGAAGAAAAAAAATCATGTTTTGACTTGAAGAAAAAAAATCATGTTTTGACTCGAAGAAAAAAAACGGTTTTGTCTTGAAATGACAATCAATAATCATAATGTAATTTTCTTGCTATGACATTGTTCATATTCTTTTGTGTTAAATCATAAAATACAGTTTGATAGTGCTTATTATGGTATTGTCATTACATGTCGGCTATTTCAATTGAAGCCAATGAAGGTAAAAATGGAATATTTGGATACTACTCAAGACAGTAAAAAATGTGTAATCTGTCAAGCCCTGTGTGATGGGGAATGAAAGCTGACATACTGAAGCACTGAACGTTGCATAAGAATTTTTCTTACCATGAGAAGAATTCCAACACAATCGCCTAACAACCGTCAATACTGAGTTATTCCACTGCCACTCAACATGCTCCCTGCCCACTCTAAAGAAACACCAGTTTTTATATATTCATCAGTTGGATTTATCAGTTGCCATTGCCATAAAATAGAACCTATATATATATCCATTAAACTGAAAATATTGAAACACACTTCTAAGCATGTTTTAAAATTACTTAAGGTTAAAGTGATACTACGTCTTAGAATGAACATTAAATTTAAGCTCTCAAGAATGGTCAATATGAGTATATATTCATCAGTGAACTTTCATGGTGTCATAAAGTTACAACAAAATACCTCTAAAATCTGGAAAATTGGAAAATTCATATAACTAAGTAATTATTGAAAAACGTTTAATCTTAATATTAAGCGTTTTTCAATAGTTAACTGCATTTTTATGGATAATTACTAAGTTTGTTTAGATTTATCGGATTATATAAGGATCCTGTTATGTTATTTATGACACCATGTATATCTACTAATGAATATATGCTCTTATTGGCCAAATTTAAAATTCTTAAATTTTATGTTCATTCTAAGACACAGTATTCCTTTAATGAATTATTACTTAGTTTTATGGATTTATTGAATTTTAGGGGGATTATGTTGTATAATTATGACACTAGGTAAGTCCTTAGTTAAACAGAATTATTTTGGCCAAATTTAAAAATTTCAAACCTTTGGTCATTCTATGAGGTAGTATACCTAAACTGCGTTTATCAATGGAAAACTGGATTTAGTCCGACAAGAGTTGTTTCCCATTTACTATGGTATATAGTCATTTTCCCCTACCCCCTTTTCCTGGCAAGTGAAACTCCATTTCATTGAAATCATTGAATAGACAATATACCATTTTGACTTGAAAACTTGGGAAACAGGTGCCCAAACAATACACTAAGACAATTCTACATCAATCAATGTCAAAACAATTTTGTTATTAATGCAATCACCATCAGACCAAATAACATACGAAATATCATGTCCTAACGTGATGCTATGGCTGTTTTCTGTTGTCAACAGACGAGTCTCATTATTCAAAGCTATTTACTATCTGTATCCCGGAATATCCTAACAAATTGACAAACGATTTTAATGGGACAAGTTCGCCAACCGTTTGACCAGTCGTACCTAATTCTCAGAAATGCGAATTTATTAGCTAATGTTCGCAATTTGAGCCTTCAAATCTATGGTGTCCAGGATTATCTGCGTTAGAATGTTAAAATGACGACTCGTCTTTTCTTGAGACTCAGCCATATGTACGAATAAGACATAATAAATAGAAAGTAAAATTTCATAGTTTGAAGTATTTTTGAAGGAATTGTGCGAATTTCATGCAATTCTAGTTCTTCTGAAGACTATTTAGTGCATTATATTCAAGACCCTAATCAACCCCTAGAAAATGGCGAACTAAGGCCTTTAAATTTGAAATATTTTATTTCTCACCATTTTTTATTATTACTCAATTCATACTTCGAAGGGGACATTCCTGAGTGATAGGCCTATAGATACATCTTTTATAGTGCATGCATGCCATTGCATTAAACCAGTGTTTCTTATTAAGTATAATATTCAAGACAGACTTTAAGATTTTAAGTATTCAAAATAAGTCAATTCCTATGATTTCATTGGAAATGTCTCAATGACTCGAAAATTCGAGAACAAGATATGGGTTTAGCCTTTATGCACGAATACCCTTTTTATCTGTTTTGATCGATTCGCTTGATATCTCATGAATGGGGTTGAAATAACTAGGACACACTGAGGCATATTTTCATTTATGATTTCAATTAGATTTTTTCCTCAATCTAAGCATGGCTGAAAGTGTATCTGACGGATCGAACCCAAAAGCTCAGGTAAGATCAATGCTACATAATATTTTTTTATCAATCAATATCAAATGATCAAAAGCAAAGATGAAAAGTTTTTCTTTTGAAGTTTTAAAGTTGTTGTGGGCATTGACGTTTTTGTATACCAGGTTTATTTTCCCATTTTAGGCCTACATCTTGTTTCTCTTTTTCAAAATGCATGCTTTATCGATTACATTTCAAGGACATACGCTTGAATACTTTTGTACGTGTTATATTCACAAACGACATTTTTGTAACATTTTTTTAGTCTCGAAAAACTAGTGCAATATATCTCTACGATTTCCTAATCAGATATGTATTAAATATTGGTGCAGATGGATTATAGAGCACGAGCCATTTGTCCTATCATAGGCCCGAGGGGTGGGCTGGGTGGTTGGTTCATGGCCGACCGCTATGCGCTATTGGTAAAGGCCCCTACCTTTATTTAGATTTGTGAAAAAAACAAATATTACCTGCATATCGTGTATGACGTCACTTTTGTAGGACAGAGGCAACTTTTGCCATAGAGAATTCATAAACAATAATTTTAGTGGAATTACGAGAACCATTATGTCTGAACTGAACATTGTCAGGGTGAAAATCGATGTAATCAGAGTTCCCGATACACAAATAATATAAATTTTACATGGCCTTTTTACACCCCCTTTTAAAGGGTCATGTGCACCATTTTTTTGGAACAATCATACGGGAATTTTTAAGCTTTGCCAATCAGTATTAGTGTTCACATATCACCATTGAAATTTGAGTCTTCAGATCCAAGTGTGTCCAAAATTATCCGCGTTTAAATGTTTAAATGACGACTCGTCAATGTAAGATATTCTGTGATATATAGAAAAGACATAACAGAAATAGTGAGTAAAATTCATAGTTTGAAATATTTTTAGAGGAAATATGGAATTTTCGTACATTTATAGTTCTTCTGGAGACCATTTACATATATATTCAAGGCTAAAATCAACCTATCAAAATGCCGCATCTGCCCCTTTAAGATCCTGAAAATCTGAATGGTGTAAATCGATTCTATTAATGTACCCAATATACACGTAAAACGTTTAGACAAACAACTGTACAATTAATCCTTTTAAATGGGCAATTTTGTAAACTTTCTGTATATTTTGTATTAATATCTTTAAGAAGAAACTACTATTTCTATAGTGATTTGATAAAGACATCATAGTTATGGAAATATCGTGTTAGTCTAAAATAGTTTATTGCGACATGACATATCTTTTAATGTATTTGACCGTGATTGACTGGTAAATAGTCATCTTATTTCAGGTAAACACTGCGTATCAAATTCACACAGACGGCTAGAATAAGACCATTTGCATGGACAAACATTATTTTTTTCGGAGGATAAGTGACATGGAAGAAGGGGGTCGAAACAGGCCCGTATAGCCTTACTTGATTGTTCGGAGAGTCAAGTAATATATCCGGAGTGACAAAGGTATAGTCGGACCTGCCTCTTAAAAAAAAGGGGGGGTAGAAGTCATAAATGACACCAAATCCTCATAAAAATAATACTATCCTTTTAAGTATCCACATTGAGGGGAGTGAACATTCCGAAATGGGATGCCTTGATGACGAACCCAGTCGCAGAATGACGTTCGGTGTTCTGTAAGAAAGGGATTAATAATCATGTTAAGGCGTCACCGAATCCTCGGCAACAAGAAAATAATTTTAAGGACAATTTAAAACCAAAATTAACACCATTAAAATATTCTTTAGAAATGGAGGTGTGAATCGTAATTAAAACTTGTTTTCTTTGTTTTCAAACTATTTTTTTTCACAATTTAAAAATATTTTTTCTAGTTCAAAGTTTTGTGATTATATAAGGACTATTGGTTGGGGTATAGGTTGGCTGAATACATAACTTAGGTCACTCAATAGTTGCTCAAGTTTGAAAGTGTAATGCATGTATATTATATTATGGTCCACTGTCAAATTCCTTTTCGTAGGCCTTTTTGCTATTGCAGTGAGAGTGTGATTTGATTTTGCAGAATAATCATTGACGTTCGTCTGCTTTCAAGCCTATCTAAAACTAGGCCTAATTCATTCTATATTACCCCCCTTGGCCATACAACAATTGTCTTGTTTCAGCACTATTCTTGAATTGGCTCGGATTAAATTTAGTTATGAAACCTTTCTCAATAAATGTCGTCCGGTGTCATCCACTAAACTTCACTTCTTAATGCAGAGTGTTAATTGAAAATAGGTGGAGGGTTGCCACCCTTTAAATCCAAATTTGTGTTATATAACTCTAGTGACTAGAGAAGTCATCTATTCTTCAATTTTCAATAGATCCAATCGTAAATAGGAATGGCTAATCAAGAAAAGTATCAGTACCAAGGACCATCTGGCGGACAAGATATTGGAGTTTGAATGGCATTTAGTAAAGGTGTTGGATGTAATGAAAAAATTCTTATGGATTACAATTACTAACTTTATTTGAGCGACGTTTCGACCAGTGTTCTCTGGTCTTTATCAAGCAATATCATTTTATCATTTTACATGAGCAGGCTAATGCCGTTTATCAAAGTAGCGTGATTGTTGGATCTTTAATCTATTCGAGTTGTATTTCTCAAACTTGGCTGTATCCTTTTATTCTGAAGCCCAATTCGTCTTTTCTTTACTCTGTGCAATCTTCTAGGCCTACTTCATGTTCTTTACAAAGAAGGTTGACAAAAGGATTCTTAATTTTTTACGATATTTAATATGTGTATGATATCGAAGCAATGATAAGTCAATTTCAAATTACGATTTGAAATGGACCAATGAAGTTCCATGGCTTATAGTGCGTCAGACAACAAAATTTAAGGCAGCTTAACTATCAATCGTTCTTCGAGCCTGGTTAACAGTTTTTTGGTGTTCGTTCAGCATAATATCAATAAACCATGCACGCATGCACATTCTGATATA